CTGTTAGCTGATTGCTCATGTCATGGCATGCTATGACTCCAGACTCCTGAACTGTTTGCTGCGGTAGTATTGTTCGTTTCATTTTTAAGACATGTAAAATTAGGAACACTTTTTAGCATTGTTCGATGTTGGTTGCAAATGTTTTGTCCAATATTTATATATATATATATATATATATATATATATATATATATATATATATATATATATATATATATATATATATATATATATATATATATATATATATATATATATATATATGTATATATATATATATATATATATATATATATATATATATATATATATATATATATATATATATATATATATATATATATATATATATATATATATATATATATATATATTAGGGTGTGTCATTTAAAAAAAAAATTGATTTCAAAAAAGTTATATCAAAATAATATTAGGATTTTATATATAAATAAGAAACATAACTTTAAGTTTTGTTGAATTTTAGCGCTAGCTACATTTTTTTAAATTTTAATTTTACTTTTTATGGCTATTCTACAAGCTACTTGGTGCGCACCTACAGAAAAATGGTTGGCTGTTTTGAATAACTTTTTTGTCCCTAGAGTTGAACAGTTTTTTTTTAATTATTTAAGTATTCTATTTAATGTGATGTAAAGAAAAAATTTGAAAAAATTCTGCTTATATGTGTAAAATATAAGTAACAATATCCTTTTAAAAACCCTAAAAAAAAAAGGATATTGTTTTTAAAAACCTTTTAAAAACAATATCCTTTTAAAATTTTATACAAAATACATACTATTTTTTATTATTTTTTGATTGTATTTTTTACACAATACATTTTAGGGCTTCTTACACCAGGGGCGGTTTGGCATCCTATTGTTTGATAGCCCTATATTTTTTGTAATCCTTTTAATACGAGCTATCTCATAAAATAAATTCATTTTAGGCACATATTTTTGTTTATAAAAATAAAATTTGTTATGTTATGACAACTAATAGTATTAAAAAAAAAAAACACTACTATTTTATTAAAATAATAAGTAATCTATTGAACATTAAGTGTTTATTAAATATAGTAACATAAAACATATAGGTTGAATATTAAAACAAAAACAGAATGTTATACTTTTTGAACTCAACAAAAAATAATAATTAAAAAATCACTTTATTATTTAAGTATAGTTTAGAAGTTCCATCATGGCTTTCTTGATCCTATTAGTAGACATCAACTCCTGCTAATGAACTGGGCTCTTATGTAAGCTTCTCTTCTTTCTGATGTGTGGACATGTCCTGCAGTTTCTGTGACAAGCTGTACACACCTCTCAATTAATTGTGTATGTGAACTCCATTGGGGAACAACCATGGGGTTATTAATAAAATCTTTAATATCGGAAGATGTAAAATTGCATGTCAAAGGTGGTTCTGTTATATTATTGCTCCAGTCAATTAAACTAAAAAGATTTTAAGCAATTTTAATATCAGGTGTTCTTCGATGTCTATGGCTATAAACACCAGTATTAGATTGCTCCTGATATTTTTTACAAAGCTTAAGAATAATTCCCACAGCTTGAACTCTTTCTACTTCACTCTCACTGCATAACATAGCTTGTAAAATAGCTTTTGAATGCGCATACCAAGGTGATCTTTTAATTATAGGCATTACAATATCAAGAACTGGTTTCCTCTGGCTTCTGAGGAGTTCTAATTGGTATCAAACGTGTCTTGGTCCCTCAACCCAACATGATTTAACTTTTATGTCAAACCAGTTTGGAATATAAACACCCACAATAAATTCGACAATTCATGTAAAATTTTGATGGTTGGTACCATATAGGCCATGCTGAGAAACCCATATCCTGCAAAATCTTTATGCTGTTGTGAGCCACATGCTATGGCAAACAGGCCCTATTTCTAGCATTACAAACTTCTGAGGTAAATCACCAGACCTTATTGTTATCCTGTGTTTGTGTTATTCTGTACGCATAGCTCTGATCAGGACTTAAATCTTTTATTACTTCAGGACTAAGAACAATTAATGCAGGCCCAACATCAATTTTTGTAAATCTGGGATTAATTTCAAGACTTGTTGTTGTATTTAACATCTTTCCCAGTAGTCCTGGCCACTTATTTTCACATTTTTTTAGGCCGTCTAAGCTTATAATTAAATGTCTTAAACCTAACTTGTTTGTGCGAAGATTGCACACAACCCATACTAATCTCTTTCTCAATTTTCTTTCCACCCATTGCATCACACCACCTTCCCTACCAGTATTTACATTTGTACTGTCTTTTCCTATAGCTTTTAGTTGTTTACCTAAATTTGTGGTCTGCAATTACCTCAGCATGTTTTCTGTGATCAGTCTTATCAGGAACAAAATGAAATAGGTATCTACCAATTGGTTCAGTAACTACAGAATAATGTTCTTCCTTAATAAGACTAGGGAAATACCTACCATAAAATTCTGTTAATACTTTCGTATTATTTTTCCTGTCATCGAAAAAAATACATAAAACCACATTATTTTCAAGATCTTTATTAAATTTATAATCTAATTCAATTGCTAACTTCTCTTGCCCCCTTTTAACCTTGCATTCAGGCACCAAGAATTATTAAATGTGTAGCTCGCAAAACTTTTTTATGTAACTGTGGGGCAGTTGATTGGAATGCGCTACCACCAGATATCATTACCTTCAATAGAAATGTACCAGATATTGTCAACATTAACACTTTCAAAAAAAAGCTTGACAGATTCTCTGGCTCACTTCCAAAAAAAACTGTATGATTGGTACTTCTGATTCTCGCTTGGGAATGTTATCAACTCAATGTGCCAATAATTTTATTTATTTTTTATTTTTGTTTGGTAATCCTCTATACTGGATCTACCATAGCAGGGATTGGTTGCTTTCCCAGTTTCACAGATTTTTCCGTTGTAGATTAAATTTAATAATTTTTATATATATATATATATATATATATATATATATATATATATATATATATATATATATATATATATATAGAGAGAGAGAGAGAGAGACATTACTAAACTTTAATATATACCAAAAATTTAAATTACAGGAGATTATAAACAACTTAACAACTGGAATATTGTTGCTTTTTTTCAAATATTTAATTTTAAAACTGTAATTCTTTTCAATTGTGGTTTAGTTTTTAATCTTTGAGTTTATGGTTGCTAAGCAAAAACTTTTTTGTCTAATAACGGTATCTTTGTATGAAGTTGTAAAGAGTTTTTTTATAGTAAACACATTAAATAAACACATAAACACGTTTGTGATATTTGTGCAGAGCTCTTTTAATGCTATGACAATATAACCTCAATAGCTGTTTAATGTAAATATTGTGATTTTTTTTTTTTTTTGATAAAGTTGAAATGAAATGATGAAAGATGCCATGTGTAAATAATCCTTTACACATTTTTTTTACATCAAACTTTTTCTAATTTTTTTAATGTTATTCACTTCCTTAAGGCAGAAAGGGCCACTACAGTCGAGGAGGTTACTTTTTATGGTTACTGTACTTTCTCTCTCTCTACTTTATTGTGGTTACAATACTCCCTCAACTCTGTAACTCTTTAATAATATAAAAAAATTGCTTTCAAATGACTTACTATCAATATGTTATAGTTATTATGAATCATAAAATAATTAAATGAATTAAAAGTTATACAACACATTGCCAGCAAAAAAAAATACACAGTTAAAAATAATTCTAAAATATTTTAAATTTTTACACCCTTGGTTAAAGTTTAGACACCCTCGGTATTTTAATATCGAAAATATTTTATTTTTCAATACAATACGACAAAATATTTATTTTTTCAATTATTTAAAGTTTCAAAAAAAACAAGCAAAACAGCTTTGTCATTTAAAATTAAAAAATGTTTTTTTTATTCTTATAACTATAAATAAAAGGCATTGCATTTCCTAAAATTTTGAAAAATTAAAGTTTAAAAAGTTTGTGTTATTTAAGATAAAAGATATATCCCTGGAAGTATTGCCATATCCTGGGATATCCTGTTGTCATTTTCAACCCCAGTATCCTAGGATCCAGTTGAGAAACCCTAATAATATAAAAAAAATTCATTATGCATAAATTTAAAGTTAAATTTTTTAATGATGCATGTTTTCCATGCTATATGGAGTGGACAGAATTTTCTAATGTGATAATTTAGGTTCAATCTAAAGTATCTTATCCAATAAAAAAATTGTTCGAAATTTTTTTTATAAAAGTTATTCCAAGTTTGGCATTTTCCTGGTATGACTGGTAGATTATAAATTTCCAATTTTTTAAATCTAGATATTTAGTATACATACTTTTGTGGTCTGTAAGACAGGTTGCTATCAAAAATAGTGTTTATATAGTATTTCAAATATAGTATTTAAATCATATCGTATCGTAAATAGTATCAAAAATAGTATTTATATAGTATATTGAAAATAGTATTTAATAGTATATCAAAAATAGATTGAAAATAAAATATAAAATAGGGAGGTATATAAATAGGAAGAAAATGCTTATAAATTTTCTAGTTTTGTTAGGGTTCTATGAAAAGCTTTTACTAAATAAAATAGAGTCTTTACGCCCATCATTTGAAACATGAAGCCATGGAGTTTTTGTTATTAGATATTGATTTTTATTATTAAATATTGACTAAAAGTTCTTTATTTTGTTATTTTTTTTTTATTATTAAATTTACCTCCTAAGGGACAAAAGTAACCTTTTTCATTAAATTCCAAGGCTCTAGAAACATCCCAGAAACAGAATCTCTTAACCCTAAACTCTGCCACAAATAACTTAAAGCTCTAACCATTATCTAAACCATTTGTTGAAAGTTCTACCACTGGTTTACTACCTTTTTATTGTAATTAATACATATATATTTATTGTTGTTATTATGTTATTTATTTTATTAATAATTTTATTATAATATTTTTAGTGCTATTACAAAAATAATTATAAAAGAAGTTTAAATTCTTTCTAGGTGTAATCATAATTACTTTGGTAATGAATGTCAATACGAAGAAATTATTCCACATGGTTAGAATGTTTAATTTATTTATATATATGTGCAATCAGAGTTGTTAGTCCTTGGCCTTGGTCTTGGTCTTGAAACTGCTGGCCTTGGTCTTGGTTTTGGCCTTGAAAATTTTGGCTTTGGCCTTGATTGTTTTGGCCGTGGTCTTAAAAAAAAACTTTATAAAATTAAAGGATTAAAAGTTGTCATTCTTTATTTTTATGTATTTTTGTTTTTGGCTTTCATATAGGGAAGAGTTGCCGAAATTGGAACAGCGTCTTAATTGGAACACTTGCATTTATTTTTGAAAAAAAATGAAGTATGGCTATATTTTGCATTTTTTTAGTAAAACACATTATTTTCTACCTTATGACACATTTTGAAAGTTATTCCTCAAAAAATATGTTTGCGCCATTGATTTAAAGTTTTTTTGCATCATTTTTTTTCAGTGACCTAATTTTGTGTTCACACTATATTGATTGCGCTGGGTAAACTATGGTGCTATAAGTAATACTGTTTTTTGTGTTTAATTTTATGGGATTTAAAATGCAAAATAACTATATAATCTTATCTTATAAGTTGCTGCAACCATGTTATTTTAGTGATACAACAAAATAGTCGAATGTTACCTTGATTGGAACATTGAAGTTTTCCTTACCTAATCAGTAATAAAATCAGTAATAAAAAGGGTTGTAAAAATAGTTTGAGTGCAATTTAAAAATTACTTAGTAACAACCATAAACCTTAAAAGTAATACTTTATTTAGTGATTTTTAATCAATAAGTTAAGAGAACGTCGTGACAGTTGAAGCTTTATGCAATTTTTTAAATGTAGACAAATTTGTCTGGGTAATAGTAATCCTATAATTTTTTGATTAAGGAATCAAAGTGTTCCAATTTAGGGAACCAGTTGCCTTGATTGAAAAAAATGGCAACTTTGCAAAAACAATTTTTTTCAATAACAGTGCAATCAATTAAATAAAATGGTGGTTAAAAGTATAGTAGGGATGTCTGTTTGTATTAAACAAATCATAAATGTTTTCATAGTTAAGCTATCTTTGGTTAATAAATATTAATTCCTAAATTGTTCCAGTTAAGGCAACTCTCCCCTATATCTACAAGTATATTTCCTTATGGACTTCGTTGAATTCTGCGCATAACCTTGGTTTATTTTTACGACATGTGGTTTTATTGTCACCACAATTGTTACCTATAGTTTTGTTAATAATTTTTAACTTATGGCAATAATTTTTTACTTATGGCAATAATTTTTTACTTATGGCCTTAACATATGGCAAAAATTTAAGTCTTTGGCCTTGGCCATAAAACTCTTATTCTTGGCCTTGACCTTAAAACTATTAGCCTTGACCTTGTCCTTGGCCTTGTAACATTTGGCCTTTGCCTTGCTACTTTTGGCCTTGTTAACAACTCTGTGTGCAATAAAGTTTTCCAAAATTGAAGAAGTTCTAATCTTTAGAAATTTTTCTGTAGTGTACAAGCAACTTGCATATGGTTTTGGCGGAACTACTGTGTTTTTGTTGTTGGTTGTTGTTTTTTTAACATGTTGTTGTTCAAAAAATAGATTAAAGAAAGAGTAAATTTTTTGCTTTTAATGTTTGTTTTTTCTATTTAAGATTTTTTTTATCTTTCAAATTTTTTTTTTAATATTTTAAAAATGTTTATTATTTCTAATTTTTAAATTTTGGCCAATATTTGTTAGTTATTATCATTGAGAGAAAGGAATTATTAAATATATATATATATTTCTTTGAAGCATTAAACTTGCATTTAAAAGCATATATAAATTAACTTGTAATTGATAACTTAGTATTCAAATAAAAAAGAAATCAATTGGTAATTAATAACTAAGTGTTCAAATATTAAATGAAATATCAATGAGAATACTATCCATAAAGATTTTCAGGCCAAGATTTGTTCATATATATATTTATATATATATATATATATATATATATATATATATATATATATATATATATATATGCAGTGCTGGCAAAAAGTCTTGCAACAAGGCACAATTTTACACAAATCAATGTTTCCACGCCAGTAGGCTCAGTGTTATTACCTTATACTTTTATCTTTAGGTATAAATATATTTATGAAGAAAATTTTGTAGCTTAAACAGTTAATTCAGTGAAAATCATGGCTAAGATCCGGCAGCTTAGTTAAAAAGAAAAAGCATGCATTCAACGTCTTGCTAAAAGTGGTATGTCTCATGCAGACATTGCAACAATTTACATGGTTGAACGCACTACAATTTGGCGTGTTGTAAAGCAGGTTATCCCCCTGTCTCCTAAAAAGAAGTTTGGACGTCCTAGAGTCACTTCACAGCGTACTGACCTCAGGATGGTAACAATGGTCAAAATGAATCCTTCAATAACCTCTGGTGACCTACAGAACAGCATACCAACACTTTTTAATGTCTCAAAGCGCACAATCTGTCACAGACTTTCTGCGGAATTAAACTTACCTAACGGAATTAAACTTATTAGTAACTGAAAAGATGAGAAAAAAGCGCATTGAGTTCTGCAAGAAGCATCAAGATTGGACAGAAGAGCAGTGGACACAGATGATATTCAGTGATGAGTCCATGTTTCGTCAGTTCTCTGAAATGGTGTTGTTTTTCTGCTCATGGCCTCAGAGATTTATACTTTTTTCCTAAAGAAGAAACTATGAATGCAAAAAAGTACTTCAACGTTTTGGATAAATCTCTAATCAATTTCATGATTATTCATCAGTGCACAGTTTTTCAACATGATTCAGCACCATGCCACACTGCGAAGTCTGTGTAGCAGTGGCTTGGATTAAAAAACATACAGTTGCTTGATTGGCCTGGAAATTCTCCAGATCTCAACCCAATTGAAAATCTTTGGATGTTAATCAAGAAGTGTGTATCTGCTAAGAACTCCAGTTCATTTGTGTAAACATTGCAAACATTGATTTGCGTAAAATTGTGCCTTGTTGCAAGGTGTATACATATATATATATATATATATATATATATATATATATATATATATATATATATATATATATATATATATATATATATATATATATATATATATATATATATGTACAACTCTCTCTCTCTCTCTTCAAGGGTTATATATATAACCCTTGGAATTAAACAATCAAACCATAAAGTGTTTGTGGTCAGCGAAAAATTACCGACCTCGTTTCTATGTTTTATGGTCTGTTTCTATCTGTTTCTGTTTCTATCTGTGTCTGTTTCTATGTTTTATGGTATGTTTTAAGATCTTTGTATCAATTTTTTTTTGCCAACTTGATGCTGACTTTTAAATGATCAAAGTTGGCAAACTATTGCCAACATCATTTTTCCTAATTCTGAGGGTTGTACATATATATATATATATATATATATATATATATATATATATATATATATATATATATATATATATATATATATATATATATATATATATATATATTCATATATATATATATATATATATATATATATATATATATATATATATATATATATATATATATATATATATATATATATATATATATATATATATATATATATATATCTGTGTGTGTGTGTGTGTGTGTGTGTACATATATATATATATATATATATATATATATATATATATATATATATATATATATATATATATATATATATATATATATATATGTGTGTGTGTGTGTGTGTGTGTGTGTACATATATATATATATATATATATATATATATATATATATATATATATGTATATATATATATATATATATATATATATATATATATATATATATATATATAGAGAGAGAGAGAGAGAGGCCTTTGCGAGTAAATGAATGCGAGAGCGGAGAAAAGCTCTCCTAAAACAAACATGGCAAGCCATTTAAGCTGTTCCTCTAAATGAGAATTATCGGTTTTAGCGCAAGCTATCTGTTTATTCATTAAATAAATTACTATTAAATACGTTTTCTTCAGGTTTTAACCTTAAGTTATTTATTTATTTATTAGCCAAATATTTTATAATTTCTCACTGCAGCCCTCAGAATTATGGTCGGCTGACTTAACTGCCAACCTAGAAATGTTTGAGGTGGGAAAAATTCGCAGACCTTTTATATGTTTTATAGTCAAACCTTTGTTTCACATTTTTTCTGTCGACCTCATACAGGTTATTTTTCCTAATTCCAACGGCTGTTACTGTAATAGAGAGCAGGTATTTTATGAATTATTACAACAATTAAAGGTTCCAAATTGAAAGTGTTTTTATAATTACAATTTTTTTGATTTTATATAATTCATTATAAATATATAAAACATATAATTTATTACATAATATATAAGTTGTTACGCAGTAAACATGAGTTGGTGCAAATCATAAAATAAGTAGTTATAACATTTAGAAAGAATGTTTTACTTTTTCAAATGTGTTTCTAAAAATGTTTAATATTATTAACTGTAATATAAATAATAGCTTTAATAGGAAGAAATAGGATTGGCTAAGTAAAATATTTACAACAGAATATTATAAATTTATTTTTTCGTAATGGCATTTTTATAAGAAACTGATTATTTATTTAAGAAACCAATCAGTTATTCCAATCTAATTAAAAACATTTGCAGTTTTAATCAGCTCTTTTTTTTAATTTTTTTTTTTTTTTTTTTTTTTTTTGCAACAACTGTATTTTTAAAAATGTATTGCAGTTTATTATGCAATTATTGGTTTATTTTTAAAATGTAGCATTAGACAAAAGAAAAAGAAGAGCAAAAAATGTCATTATTTATGGAGTAGCCGAATCAACTAAAGAAAACATAGTAATGAAATCAAAAGAATAGGAGTCAAATGTAAATGAAATCTTTAAGCTCATAAATCAAGAGAATGTAATTCCAAAATTTGTTAGGCGGTTGAGATCTAAAAATAATAAACCAGGACCAATTCTTGTTGAATTAGCTGAGGATATTCTTCACAACACAATATTAGAGTCACCTAAAATATTGAGAAGTAATATCGCACATAAAGATATTTATCTTTATGTGCTCTGAGCCTCAGTCTAGATTTCACTGAGGCTCAGAGATTCCAAGATTTTAACCTCAGAACTGAAAGAAATAAAATGAATTAAGCAAGAGCAGACAATGACCATGGTATGGCGTTTGTATCAATAAGATCATCAAATTAAAAAAAAAATCAGATCAATAAATTTCTACATAATTAGTGTCAGATTGCAATGAAATTAAAAAGCTGTCATGTTTATGCCTAAATGCTACCTCTCTTGATAACAAGTTAAATGAGTTCAAAGTGGTAATTGAATAATACAAACCTAATGTAATTTCTATGACTGAGACATTAAAAGTGATTCAGTTGTGAACATTGAAGGTTACCATCTGTATAGTAAAGACAGATCAGACAGATAAAAAGGCAGTGGTGTTTGTTTATATATAGACATTTCTCATTAGACTCCTATGAACTAAATGATGCTGTTCTAAATCCCTGTAAACTAGATCAAGTGTGGGCAATTGTTTATGTTTATAATGACAAGAATTTACTTGGATATATCTAAAAAATCATTTGGATATATCTAAATAATTTTTTAGATATGGCAGAACAGTGTTGTACACTGGATTTTTAGATGTTTGAGTTTTTACACTTGCAGGCATTGTGCAAACTCAAAACTTTTGTATGTTCATGCTTATGTCAAATGAGAATGTTTTGCAAAGAGTTGCGGTGATTGGAGCTTGGGAACAAAAAAGCCCCAATTTTTAGGCCCACCCAGCCCTTAATGTGGAAGCAACAAGTTTATAAAATAATCTCTTTAGTATTTTTATCTAAGTTTATATTCATCAACAAATTTCAAATTTCTTGCAATAATCTCTTATTTTTTAAAAATGATGACCTATAAAGTTTTAACCCCCCTCAATTTGAGGGGGCTGTAAACTTTGTAGGGCCATAAAAACTAAAGACTAAGAGATTATTGCATGAAATTTGAAATTTGTTGATGAATATAAACTTAGATAAAAATACTAAAGAAACTATTTTATAAACTTATTGCTCCCACTTTAAGGGCTGGGTAGGCTCAAAAATTAGGGCTTTTTTGTCCCCAAGCTCTAATCACCGCAACTCTTTGTAAAACGATCTCATTTGACATAAGCATGAACATACAAAAGTTTGGAGTTTGCACAATGCCTGTAAGTGTCAAAACTCAAACACCTAAAAATCTAGTGTACACCTCTTACTTATCATGGGTGACTTAAATTTCCCATCAATCAGCTGGTCAAATGGCTGTGTTGATGCAATTTCAAATGAGAATGGAATTGAGTATAAATTTACAGATATTTTAAATGATAATCTTATATATTATTGCCTAATTTAATCCTTTTAGTAGTAGTAGTAGTAGTAGTAGTAGTAGTAGTAGTAGTAGTAGTAGTAGTAGTAGTAGTAGTAGTAGTAGTAGTAGTAGTAGTAGTAGTAGTAGTAGTGTTAGTGCTCATTTGTGAGTGTTTGAAATCGAACCCTTGGCAGCCATTGCAACCAAGGTAGTGGTGAGAAAGAGTTGCATCACTTTGTTTTATAAGAAAATGTGAA